TGCCGGTACGCCTCATAATTTTATTTCTTGGTAACAATCTTGCCGAATTTACCGGAGACGGAGGGATTACTACACGTTACATTGTATTCATTCACGGTAGTTTCTTAAAGTTAAAGTTTGCGCTGAACAATAGCTTTGAAAAAAAAGTAGCAGTTTTATAATAACTATGACCGCGTGAGAAACACCTTATACACATTATTTTCGTACATTCCTATGCTTCAACACCATCAAAATTGTAGCAAAATTGTAGCAAAGTTGACTGGCGTCAGACTCCATCGGCCCGGCACAGATCGCCCGGCAGGACGTAAAATAAACATTTGACACGCCGCCATCGCCGTTCCGAGCCGCGGCAGACTTCGGGGTCTCGCACCAAGTTTTTTCGCTACGCGGTACGCGGGACACGACAGGCCTCCCGAAAGAATACCGCGGGATATCCCGCAATCTCCCGCGTGATATCCCGCAAACTCCCGCGGGATATCCCGCAGTCTCCCGCGTGATATCCCGCAAACTCCCGCGGGATCTCCCGCAAAATCCCGAATCCCGATGATGCTTATCCCGCGATCTGTACTGTACTGTCTTTTCTCTTCATATTCATCCGGCATGGCAACAGACATCTTTGCCTGTTTGGCATGTTCATCACTTTAAGAAAGCAACAAAATTTCTTATTCTTTTTTAATTCTTTTTTGCATGCTGATGTCATCTGTAAAAATCATTTTAAGTACTTGGCCTTAGGAGTTATGTCAAACAAAATTGAAATGACGGAAAGGAAATTCAACCTGGCTAAAACACTCACTGATGAAAACATCCAAATAGACGTAATTCCAATCTCCGCTGCCATTTGAAAAGCGGTCCCGCAAGAGTACGGCGCTGCGCGAACGCACGTGATCTTGCACGAAAATGTGGCGTGTACATTTTGTACTTATACTGATTTCGAAGCTGGCCTACACAATGTATTTTAGTGGGGCATCGAGCGATGCTGCATCTTCTTCGGTAAGAACGCTCTTGTACGATGAAAGATCAAAATATTTATACGTGTTACGAATAGAGAAAAAAATAAGGTTGTTGTGAGCATTTGGGTCTAATTTCAGCCGGTAGAAATGACAAATCCCTGCTCATTTCCGAATTTCTTGACCGAACTCATATATGTACGTCATACGCTAGCTACGCTCGCATGAAAAATACGTAATATACTGACAGGCAAAACATGGATCTGCTCATGCAATCAGACTTATACATGTAAGACTGATGTGAAAGCATGCCAGTACGTGAAAGTTGTCATTGTCATTTACTTCCACTTTTCAACAGATTTGAATTATTTATTGTGTAATTACTTCATATTTCTCACACAAATTGCACTCAGTTTGCGGCACCATCACAAAATACCAGAAAGTAAACAAACATGGCTGACAGTTGTGTTTAAGGCGTCATATTTTGGCACCTCCACTTCGAGAATAACACTTTTTTGTAGCAGAGTACTCTGAGACTCGTGTCCCAAATAAACATACACTCCCCCCAGAGAAAAAGTACCCCATGGACAAATCTTGAAGGGTTGATTTATCTTACTCTGTTTGTATTGTAATGAGATGATCAGAAAAATGACTTTTTGTATCGCCCTTAGGCCACACCAATTTAATTTGTTGTTTCTCGAATTTTTTCAGAAAAAAATATGAAGCGACAGGGCAAAAAAAACAGCCCAAGGCACCCCATGATAGCCGGAAATGTTACAATATGACCCATGAAGTGAACATACCAGGCTGGTTTATAATTAAAGCAATAGATTTTGAACTTTTAATGAAACAAAATTGCATTGTAACATTGAAAAACTTTAAGAACTAGGAAGAAAAGGACTTTCTTTAACCATTGGGGCCAAAATATTCTTTTATTGAGCATTTTGTAATTGATTTAAAAAAAAATTTTCCTTCCAACTCAGAAAAAAATGGACAGGGCAATCAGAGAAGCAACAAATTAAATTGGTGTGGCCTAATGTTACTAATGCAGCTTTAACTCTTCACTAAGGAGTATAGTTAAGTTAAAGTCTAACCACTTGTTTCTCCAGCCTGTCCACCCTCAGGTCCGGTCAGCTGGTCAGTGGCCTGACTGTCCAGTACTGCAGCAGGCATACAGTCCATCAGGTCCATGGGCTGGTCAAACAGACTGTCCCCAAAGTCGTCCATGATGGCAGGCATGGTGTTGACTTTCTGGTCCCCCACCTCCTTCTCCAGCATGTGCATAGCAAACGTCATGACAAGGAAGGCCTAAAGAAAATTAAAAGGAATTGTCATAAATTGGATAATATTATCCAGGGCTCAGAATACTGGATACATATATTTTTCAACGAATGCTTCTGCAGTTCCAGAACAAGCCGCTAGGGGGTCCAGACCCATGTTACTTCTTCCCCAGCCAAAGACCAGGTGACCATCCAAAATTAGGGACCCTACCATGGCCAGATCATGAGATATCAAAACCGGAAGTTCAGCTGCAGTACCATAACAAGCCACCAGGGGTCCAAAATCTACTCAGTTCCAGGTCTCATCAAGACCTACATGTATCCACCTACCAAATATAAAGACATCCATCTTAGCCTTCTTGAGATATCGTGTTGACACACACACACACACAGACACACACACACACAAACATAACACACGCCAACGAAAACATAAGTTATTAACCTTCTTGGCGAAGGTAATAATAAAATACAACATAAGGTATTCCGTATTGCCCAAGGTACCAGCCCTACCGCGCATCGGATCGCCCGATGGCTGAAGGCTGGAGGGAGATCCGATCCATGGAAGGGCTGGAACCGAGGGTGATGTGGAATACACCATGTTGTATTTTATTTATGTCATACCCACCCAAGAAAACACGACTTTCAATGCGAAATGAGCAAAAAATTTGGTGTCCCTAAACCCAAAAAATGCAACAACATCAATTCCAACATCCAAATTTTTTATCTGAATTTTCGAAAGTGGTTAGGGCGAAACGCGTTCGAATTATTCTCTGCAACATTTGGAAGCCCCGGGCCGTGCGGGGATGGGGATTCGTGCCCGTGAAAAATTTGCGCGTGCGTGAAAAATTTGTGCGTGAAGATATGCGAATTAGCCAATTCCCAAGGGATTTTAAAAACTTTTTGCTGTTTTAAGCTTAAAAGTTGGAAAAAAAATACATAAAACAGAATTGAACATCATTTTGTTGCATTCTAGACTACATAGCCGTATTTTGTCAATATTTCAGTGATTTTAAGTGATTTTCAAAAGTTAAGTTTTCACGCGCAAAAAAGGTTGAAATTTGCGCTTGAAAGAATTTGTTTGCTAAAATATGAAAGCAAGCTTCTAGAATGGAGAAAAGCTTCAGATTGTTACATTTTTCCATCCTAAACCTCATACTAGTAACTTTTCCATGTATTTCTTACAAATTCAAGTGATTTTCAAATGTTCAGATTTTATGGAAAAAAGGCAAATTAACCTATTCCCAAGAGACTTAAAATTTCCAACTAAAATTTTGAGTTACAGATGGAAAATTATACCACAGGATCACATTTTACTGCATAAGAATTTGGTAGTAATGGTACTGCATATTTTCCGACATTTTTTTAGGGACTTTTATTTCTCACGCGCAAATTTTTCACGCACGCGCAAAATTTTTCACGCGCAGAAAACCCATTCCCGGCCGCTAGTAATCACACTGGCCGGAAAACTTGTATCAAACGTAATCGCGGCCCAGGTATGACATAAATACATGTACTAGTACAGTATGAGCTTTGCAATTGCGTTCCCAAAACTGGAGCTGTGTGCACCTATATTTTTGCCTCTTAAAAATGTCTGACAGTGTTCATCTTTCTGTCTTGGTTTCTGGATATTTTGGCCAGTAAGAATCTAAGAAGCTACATATGAATTGCAATGATATTTGTCAGTTGTTGAGAGATCTTTTTTGTGAGTCAAAGCTTTTTATGTTTGGAAGAAATTGTGATCAAAGTTTCAGCCCACTAGTGGCCTTTTATGGAATTGCAGGGGCATTTTGTCAGAAACATTGAGACAAGGAAGTCAAGAAAGGCACAAAAGGTGAAAAATTTCAGAAGTGAAAACTTTCAAGTAGAAAATCTGTGCATGAAAATAAGTCAAGACTCGTGTATTTCTTGACTTCAGTTTGCTTTTCAATTTCCTATTTTTGGTGTTTGGGGGCTTATTCTTTAATGTTACATCATATACATGGCATATCTAAAATTCAGTATAGGTCACCGTTATTTTGGGGTTAAGGGCTTGAAAATTTATTATAGTATTTATACCCATGATTTGCACTTAGAAATATTTTGGAACTGATGTTGTTGCATTTGAGGGTTCAGGGGCACCAATTTTTGTCTCATCTTGCATTGAAAGGCGCGTTTTCTTGGGTGGGTATGAACCCTATTAGTATACAACACGGTGTATTCCGCATATTGGACCCCCCCCCCCAACAACTAAAAGGCGAGTACAAATGTAGGTCACCTCAACATTTACATTTCAGATTTCTCCAAGGTCAAGTAAATACACACTTTTCTCCACCTCACTGCTTGTGACAACTTCAAGTTTCTTTGTTTACCGTGACTTCCACTGTCAGACTGGAGTGGAGTACAGTGTGACCGAGTGTCTAGTACAGTTTTAAGTAGAATATCTCATAGTCATACGTTTTAACGTTAAGCTACTAGAAAACCTAACAAAGCGTCAAAGAGGCTGGCTTCGGCTACCAATTAGCCTTATATTCAGGATGATGCGTTGATAACGACACGAATCCATCCCAACACTATTCCTTGTTTTCGTGTTTCGCTCATTCTTCAACGTACATGTATGAATAACATTCAAAGAAAATTTTGCCACAACAAAGCACCGGTCAACAACGTGACAACTACATACGCGGTTCTTCGTGTGTTTTTCAAATTCAACAGAGTTAGATAACATTTAAACCCGAGAAGCTGAGTTCATCAGATTCCCTACATGTGGTAGCAAACGCCCCAGTCGTTAGAACACACTATCTACGCGAATATTTTGTAGATAAAGAAAAATTTCTTACTGTCGACACTCGGATCTGTGTTTCACACCGCCATGATGGGTGGCAACAGTACGCATGCGCTGGACTGGATCATTCTATTCTAATATAGGGGGCTTTCGAAGGGGCCTGCGACGTTATCAACCTAGTACCTACCTACCTACTACTCTCCAAGCAGAGGTTTGGGTTTTGGGGGTATTTTTAGCGTGTTTTTAGGCTTTTTTTTATCAGGGTTTCTCTTTTGCACTGAATTTTTTCCCA